GAGTGTGTTTCTGGTCGTCACTGGAGCTTTCCTGATTGGCGACCGCCTCGAGCGCCTTCTGATAAGTGCTATCAGAGCCTCGTGAGTCCTTCTTTTCGAATGCCTTGGGCGCTCGAGTGTTCCGCTCATGTCCAACTGGACGCGAGTACGGGTACAAATCTTTTGTACGGATTTGGTGCACCTTGCTGTGAGCTGCGGGAGCTTTTGCTTCCCTGACTGCTGTTAGATGTCGGTTCCTCTTGGTCTTTATCCATGTTGATCGGATAACTTGGACGCTCCTGCCAATTGTTCTCACACACGTTATTGTATGGTTTATTCAATAATCCTAAAGGTCACTCTGTACCTCCGAAATTTTCTAAGTCCTTATTAAAGGTCACTTTTCGACTGAAAAATTCGACTAAGTCCCCGTTTAAAGGTCACTTTTGATAAAAAAGTTCGAGAGTTCTGCCCTAAAAGGTCACTTTCGGACAAAACTTCGAAACAGCTTTTACAGTTTGGGACACGTTAGCGAATGAAATCCTACAGCTGCTGATATCGCTGTACTACTATTCAGTTCAATTTCACTTCGGTAAAGGTCACCGTTTGTCAATTTCGAATCATAAAGGTCACTTAAATAGGTCAATCCGGTCAATTCCAAACTTTTTGGTAAAGGTCACTTTTCTAAGTCAAAGGTCAACTTCTGGTCCCAAAGGTCACTTTCTGACTCAACTCAACTCAAAAGGTCACTTTCCAGCTCAATTTCGAGTTAAAGGTCACTTTTCATCTCAATTATCTCATCTCAGATCAAATTTCCCATTACTGCTAAAGTTCAACGGAAAATCCCCATTCGGGTTGTTTACGTCGTTCTGATTGGTCAGCTAGTTCAAGTTATTCAGTTCAAATTTCGACCAATCACAGCTCAGATAACTGACCAATTACGTGGTTCCTCTTAAAATCTATATCTGCCTGACGTCACGGTCAACGGCCAGACATGCGCGTCGTGTGCAAAACTCCGCCTACATCTACGCTCAGCTCAGTACGGACCAATAAAATTGCCAATTTTACCAACTAGCCAATCCGTAATTAACAACGGTTTTCTACCTGTTAACGTCCGTCTGTTCCACGTCCGTCCGTTCCGCGGGAGGATGATCCAGATGATCAGATTCTTCTTCCAACTCCGTTCCCGCGTCGCCGCTGTTCCGTAGCGTGCCTCGCGCTATCAGTAGGCTACTGTGCCGGCTGTGCCGTAGCAACAGTAGTTTTACGCTCTACACCAGTTTGGTGGAGTCTGATCTGTCTTTTCCGTGCGCCCCTTTCGGCGTTTCGGCTCTTGTGGCCCACGGCAAGTTCGCTGAATCCTTGCCGAGTATCAACGACACCAGTGTAGGTCTTCGCTGAAGACTCTACACCGAGGAACATGACGACTGAACTCTTGTACTCTTTCACAGCTATGAAACAGCACGGTTCTTCGCTGAAGATACCGTACCGAAAACAAAGCTGGTAATCCACGTCAGATGAGGAATTCGCACCGCTTGTGGTGTTGCGCTTTGCTGTGGGATCGACCTGTGCCTTACTGGTCACGGTGAACACGTCAATTAACAGGCCAAATATGCCTGGCACGACTCAAATCAGTCAAATCAAATCAGAGAACCGCTGTCGGCTCTGCTACCATCTAATGCTAGATCCAGCAGTGATCCAGATACGGAGACCTAAACGGAATAGATCCCGTGGAAGCGAGCGATACGATATGGATCGCGAGCTATGCGGAAAACACAAACGTCGCACCGTAAATCGCTGACTTTTAATAATATTGAAAGTCTGTGCAACAGAAAATCAACAAGTGATCGGCGCAGCTCGATCGTAAAACGTAGAGCCAATTCAACAGCGTGCAACGCTGTGCAGCACGTGCTATGCCGCGCCCACTAATAAAGCGTAAGCCAATCAGAAGCGAGACACAACACAGACCGTAATCCAAAGGCGTAGCGCCTAGCGCACAGGCGTGAACGCTAGTGAGGCCTCGTCTCACAGGTATTAATGTGTTATATGCGAAAAAAAGCAAGAAAAGTAAAGAATTTGACCGAACAGAGCCAAGTCAATGCTACCGGAATCCGGTTAGCAAATTACGTTTTATCATGAAATTTTAATAAACGTTCGATCTACATACAGGGCACCGCATTTTGCATTTTCAGAGTTCGTGCCATTTGGTGGCACCTGCTGATATGACCTCCGGGGCAAGAGAAAGTACATTGTTATCAGCTGCCGCAAATCCATATCCGGGCCACGTCTTTTCCCAGGACCCACAAAGGTCTACAAATTTGCGTGGTGTATTGATCAAAGCATTGACCGAACAAACCAAAACTCTCTGCCTCACCGATTTCACCGCAGACACTAGTTTCGTGGTAATAACAGATTTGGTGGCACATTAATATGAAGAAGAAAATTCAGATATCTGTTATTCACGTTAAAATGGCATCTCCGAAGACGGCATCACCAGCTCCAGCCAGTGGTGCGATATCGGCAACGAGTGTATGAACAAGGTCCCAGATGTACCGATTTATGTCAACTGATCACAGTCTGCCAGCAGCTGCTTATCACTAACTACACCATCAACGACATTTCAGCTGAAATGGACAAAATTTTATGGGAGTTTATATCCCGCCGCAAGAAAACGTGTGCACGCGCGTTGCAGCACGCGAAGCACCGGTGTCGCAACGCACTACCTGAAATTTAGGGTGGCCATTCCGCGCTTGACCTTCTGCACTGGGGAGGCGAACGAGCAGATGGTTCAGCGACTCTTAAAAGCGGCAAATGATTCCTGTCCACCGATTACGAGTTGTTCCAGAAGGTCAAGCGCTTCATCAGTATTGGATACGGACGTTGGATTATCCTGTAAACTGGGAAGCCATCCGTTGTTGTCTCGCATTGTAAGTTTTGTTTTGAAAATTCGCTACGCATTTAGGAGCACTTTTGTTCAGAAACTGTTTGCTTTCCTCAGCATATCTGAATAAATTGAGTGCGGTTGTTTGTTCTCAGATATTCCGGCTTTGGATCCAGTGGCAATGCAACTTTTTGGAAGAACACTGACTTGCGAACTTTGGACTTAAGCTCTTTATCAAAGCTTGCTGCTTAGCAAGCATAGCTGCAACGTTTAATTGTTGATGAAATCCGTTAGTTTCGGTGTCTCTTTTTTACAGTATGGTAACAACCGCGAACATTACTCAAAAGGAGTAATGCGGCAGGTAAAGAAACGGGTACATAATTGTACATGCTCGTAATTGCATCTGTATTCTTTATAGACCCTTAATACAAAAAATCATGTCAATCATGTCAAATCATTGTGACAATTTTATCATTGTTGTAAATACCGAATACGTAGTACTTAATCTGCAATGCATTGCAATTCTTGGTTGGCGTAGTACACAGTACGCGGTACAAGGTATTCACAGCCAATCACAGGCGACAGCTGAGAGATGTCACTATAATGGATAAAATAAACAATGAACTACTAATAACACTAGTAATGGATAGTAACGACAGATAACCGTTATGGTCGAGTTGTGACCATAATGGATGGTCATGGGTTCAAAACGTACATAGCTAAAGCTGGCAAAAGCTAAAAAGCTTGCCATGAAGACGGCGCGTCGATACAGACAGAATAATCGTTAAGAAATGTCTTGACATCCTGAGGCATTTCCTGTCCCATAATCTGAAATTTTTCATCCTTTTTTAAGAACTGTCCTGACACAGCTACTTGGCCCCCAATACTACATGGCGCTTCCGGTGCGACCGTCCTGCCACGTTGCCGCTTCCGCATTGTCAATAGCCTGTTTCTTGCATACGGTAGAAGCTCCGTACATAGAACCGCACGGCGTCAGATAAGTAGTACGTTAGCAGGATGAAAACTGATTCAGATCTTTGTGCGGTTATACTTTGGTCACGTACAGCAACGAAAAAATTAATCGAGTCGAGTGCGCGCGACGGCGTGACCACCCTGCTAACGGTCGGCGGTCTGAGTGCTCAAAAATGATCCACGGGCAGCATAAGCTGACCTCCATTCACTGATGTGTCTGAGCCGTTGCAAGCATCCGCGTACGGCAGATAGTTTTTATGCGTCACCGCACGACGCTTGGTTACAGCTGCTAACGTCGCGAACGGACGTAAAACAACCCGGAACCAAAGGTTCCACATGGAACCGGAGCCGAAAGGGACATAAACCGTGCAATCTGAAATTCATTTTAATAGGCAATAGCCGTCAAAGTAACAAGTGCAAGCGCAGGCACACTACGTTACTGTTAAAATTTTAAACACTGAAAAAACAACCAAAATCTCTATCCACCCGTGGGTCAAATGGTAGCGTACTTCTGAAATAGGCTAATTACATGCATGTAACTGACAGTGCGGATAGCGGCATGGATGAAAATATCCCGTTTAAACTACAAGTACCCTCAGAGGTATTTTTCAGCTTACAAGAGTAAATACAAAATCTCCTCCTACATTTTCAAAATCATTCCAATTGATAGCTGTTAATTGGCAAATATTCCAGACACGAAATTGAAACTATTAAGTGTTAACATAATAACGCGTTGCGTTTAAACTGCCGTACGTGGTGTTAAAAGTCAAACGTGATAAAAGCTGGTACTAGGAGCCAGCGGTGGTGCAAAAGTGGCTACATACCCCTGCATTATATTATCACACACAGTTTCTGTAGCGTACATTTTAAGCTACCGGCTGCCTGTTCAACTGGCATGCGACTGATGCGAGCACAACATTGTGAACGTGGCGTGCCATAGTACCAGGCGAGACTGCCTGCCCGCAGCATGTGAACAGTACTTCCTGTCGCCAGACCGCTAGCATGTGCAGAGTTAAAGAGACGGCTGTATAACAACAGAACTCAGTGGAGCCAAAAGTGGTCGATATTTCCGTCTGTTATTATGACTCATCGCGTACTGCATGTACGCTCGCGCAGCAGCCAGTTCCTTGGTTTCTTAGGTTTGCTGCGCACACATACCAGCCGTGAAATGCCGGTGAAATGCTATTGCTTTACTCTTGTTATTACCTCGGCATATTCTCATCCCCTCATTTTATCTGAGCTTGCTATTTCAACCATTTAATTTAGTGCCTTTTTTATCTCTGCATTTTGTATTTTTATACAGCGTTTTCTTATACCAGAAAAGGGGTCAGTATAACTCTGTTTAACGTCAAACCCTTCCCAGCCTTTCGTGCATGTAAACGCTTCGTGGAAATGCTAGTCAGTACTGAGTACTCCCCATACGCTGTGTTAGTCAGCGCCGATTCCCTGAAAATTATAGTACGACTTCGCCATTTTGGCAGAAACGATTGCACATAAGCACGATAACATTAACGACGGTATAAAAAGCAACAAATCCATCTGAGCGCAATACACATTCCGAACAGGCAGTATTCATGCCGAATCCCAGCGCGCCCTCCGAAACGTCGATTACTGTTAACTCGTTCTTCGGCAATCCCGGCGATGACATTCCCCACCTGCATATGGAGATACCGCAAACCTCCACGGGGGCTTACCGCGACGATCCGCCCTCGTATAAGGAGGTCACGCACAACATGCCGCTGCTTGACGCGAATAGAGAAGAATTTTCCAAGGAACCCGCTAATCTCCCTCTGCCGCCATTGTACGAAGATCTTTTTGGGCCCGGGCAACCGTCAGCGTTTGTCCCTCCTGAAGGACGGGACTGGGAAGATCCCGGAGTGGCCTGTGACGAATTTTGTAACCCCATGAACTGCTGCCGCATGGTCGTGCAGTGCGGTATTATCATGGGGATCGTCTTCCTGGTTCTGGCAGGCACTACGCTGACCCATGAAACGTGGCCGCTTTGGGCCGGGGGCGTGCTGTTGGGAGTGTTCTATTTGTGGTACTTCATCGATACTTGCTGCTATAATTCCAATATGAAATTCCTCAGCAATGTCTTGTCGCTGGCGGAACTTGACCAACATGTGCAGAGCGTCCGATCAGGTACGATTTAATCAAATCGCCCGTAACCGATTTTTTTCTGTAACTAGCAATTAAATTTAAGTAAGCTGAAGCAGCAAATTTTCAATGGCACGAGCCGGGCTAAAACACTAAAATATTTAAAATATCGAGACGCAGAAAAATTAAAATTTACTGAATTTAGGACAGTATTCCCTTCTGCTTCATATGATTTCTGATACTCTGTACTGAGTAACCTGTATTCATGTAAAGCGTGCGCATGTAAGCGCAAATAAGATTTTCTAAATGAAGCTTAGAAAACCGGTTTACTTGTGTAACCGGAGTAAACGTCGGTTTTGCCGTTAAAAACTTCACCAATTTGCGATGGAACGTGTCCTTGATTAAACATGTCCTTAGACTATGGGTTGGATTCCAATTACTTTTGTGGTCGTAGCAAAGGCGGAGATTGCATGGCACATGGAATGCTACCACCACGAGACGCGCACACGCACGGTGACCACCGGTAGTGGAAGCAATCGCCACACCCGCACGGAAACATACACTGTCAAAGTGACTACTTGGAGGGGAGATAAACCTTTCGAGTACGCCTCGTGCGAAGAGGTCTCCAGTCCTCAACAACTGGATAATATCGAAGCTTTCAAGCAGACGCGAATTAAGTTCTCCAAGCAGTTCGTTATGGCCGACAGCGCAACACGAGCGGCTTTTGAAGGGCAGCGCGATGAGTTTGTCGCCGCCAACCGCCATCGGGACCGACAATACAGCTTGACTGAGTCGTTTGAGATTGCCGGGTTTGAGAAAGCCCTGATGGCTTCGACAACCGAGGAGAAGCCATTCTTTTTACAATGTCACTGGTATGTTCTAGCAGTCTTGCTGCTGCTGGAACTGCCGTTCAGTCTGATGATCAAGATGCAGTCACGGCGTATGGATTATGCGTACGTAAAAAAGCTCGGAATATGGTAGAAATAATAGAGTTTAAGTTGTTCTTCACTGATATTGAACATTGCTTAACCTTATTGAACATTATTGAACGGCACGGATGGCCACTGCTTCTTGCCCTAAGCCGGTCAGTGGAGAGTCGCCACTGGCGACGCATAAAAGCGGCAACTTCCCGTTGCGGATTTCCTCTCCCGCCCACTATTTGAATCAGAGGAGCTGGAGCAGCAGGCGTCCAGGATGGGACCGGATGTCAGATGGAAGGCGTAGTACATTTAGCTAGACGTTCTTTGTTGTTCGCTTTGTCTCGTGGCTTTCTGCCTGTTGTTTCCAGTGAATAAGGCATAGCTGCGTCATGCGTGTGTTCAGGCGGTGATTTGCGTTTGCTCTCACGCGCGTTGCTATTCAATGATGTTCGCTCCAGTGGGCAGAGTCGTCCACCAGGGAATTTTTTATAAAAATCCATCCCCCATGCACGTGTTTTGATTTGTTCTACACACCAGCAATTAGGAACAATAATGTAGATAACAAGTGCCTATGGAATAGTATGATTTGCGTACGAATTGCAATTGCAGTTGAACTGAGATTCGTTGTAGTGACTTGTACAGTTGTACTTGTATCGTATTCCTTCTGTAGCGAGTTTCTGAAATACCTAAACGTGTACTGTGCAGTTTGACCAAATTCGCAGGCAGGTAAAATCACATCAGTGTGGGTTATCTGCTCGCTGTACGACAAGGTTCGAAACACCTACCAGCGCTGGGTGGATACACCGGTGGATCTGAGGCAAGGAGCTACCGTTCGGCACTGGCTTAACCTGTACGCTATAATACATGCGCAGGAGCAAAGACGTTGCACCTGTGGCACTTACCCTGTATCATTACAAACGATTACACAGTAGTTTTCGAATTGAATTTACTCCTTAACACATTCTGAATCTGATGCAGCCATAAAAAAGTAAGAGCTGCGTAAATAACATTTGACCAAATTTCCCCAGCTGATCCGAATTTAAATAATATAAAACAAGAAAAACTGACTATTTATCATACTATTTTGATCCTAGGTACAAGGGATTCGGGGTGGGTGGATCTGTGAAATTGTGGGATGATGTTGATTGGAAGACTGTGGATATTTCCTCGTTAACTAAGCTGGCCGTACACTCTCTGGCTACTGATGAAAGCCATCCATTATATTTCTTTTTATATGCCGGAAAAAAGGCTGGTATTCAGTCTGCAGGGTTTTGGATGATATTTTTATACGTATGATCCCATCGACAATGAACACCATTGTGTTATGTTGTATGTGTTTTGTTATAGCCGACAGTGACAATTTAAAATAGCGAATAGTAACCAATAGGGAATAGAAATTAAACTACAGAGTAATTTTCATGGCATCTATCTGTTTCATATTACTGTAATTTTTTTTGTTTTGATTATGGATATGTGACCGCGCTTCCTGCTCTAAATTGGATGGCAAAAAGCTTATTAAAAAATTTCTCAGTTGTCCCAGAACCAGCGTATTTTTAATTATTGCCATCCAACAACATTCTGAATGTCTGACATCGCCAGGTAAAAAATTATTAGAAACCAGTCAAAACCGCAAAAAATTAAATTATCAACACTAACCTTGCTTTTGGCAGCAGAGCATAGGAATGCGTGTAGCCAGCGGGATACAGTTTCATTAGGCAAAAGAGCAGGCAGACTTTTAGTACTCGTACTGTATAATACTACAGAGTACTCTACTATACATGTACAAGGGTGTACAGAAACCATAGTTGTAACTATTATCGGTGCTGCACATCGCTGCGTATTATGTGCGACACTTGTTTTACATGTGCTAGATTCTTATGCTTGTATCACGGAGAAACTTTAGAAGATTCTAGTGTTAATTTGTATTTGCTGCAGTCTTTCGCGATCAGTGTCCAGTCAATGTGGTATTTACGAAACTTATGGTTGTCCATAGAGTCGGTCCAGATGACATACAGTAATCAAGCAGGTATCTGCACCAGCACTAATCTGTTGCTAGTTGCGTAATTGCTGTACTTCTGCTAATGCTTATACAACCTTGAGTATCGTATAAAGGCTTGCGATCCTTCTAAGCGATCCGTTACGAGCGAAGGTCGGCGTACTTTTACCAGTATCTGACACAGGTATACAAGCGTAGCAGCTACGATGGAGCCACTGCTAAAGAGGTTACCGATGTGCCCTGGCATCGGGACTACGAGTACGGAGTACCTGACTAACTCTAGACGTTTTATAGGCGCAATACAAAATGTCCAGATTGGTTTACGGTATTGTACATGTACTGTACATAGCAATGCTCCGGAAACAATAAAATACGTTAAACGGTAGGTAAGATCAATACGTTGCACTGCATCTGGTTTTTCAAGTACCGCCTCACTGTTAATGCTGAAGGCTGTCGATCAACAGCTCATATAGTTTTACAGCGTACAGTGGCGTGCTCTATGCAGTCTACGTAAAATATTCCTTTGGACGTTCCGGGCAACCTGTTCAGTTTCTGGTACAACAGCATTATTTGACATCGCCAGAAGGAGCTGCTACTCTAAAACAGAGCAACGTAAGAACCGGTTTACGCCCCGTTTTTGACTGCTAAACTGACCGTACGATGCAGAACCTACGGAATTTTCCTGAAGATGCCGGCAGTCTGCTGGCACTTAGCATTGTGCAAGTCCTGTTGGCAATTGCGGGATTCGCCGCAAATCTCTACAACTTTTTCTACGGTAAGAAAGGTTCTAATCTACTGTCACTATTTTATTTTCGGCAAGCTCTTCTAGCATTTCTCTGCACCAAAACTGGATATAACGTTATATCTAAGCAGCCGATAGCCCTCTAAAGCTTACATCCCCGACTTTCGTCTTAAATTTCAAGATATCCAAATAATTTATTTGCTTGATTTTCCTTTAACCATTAATACGGGGTTGGCCATACCGTTTTGGTTTATTTAGAAGCTTTGAAGAATAATGTAGTTATCGAACTTGTATGGGGTAAGCAGAGTGCCAAATATGGGTATATTCAGTTGGTGCTAATCTAATTTCCACTGACTTTGGCGCATAAACCGGCGTTACTCTTCGTGTCGGCTCTCTGTTCCACAGGATATGATGGTGGCGCTGGCGTTAAATATAACGTTGCTTTATTTCACGCCCTTGCGTTTGTAATGATGTCATCTATGAGTCGACTAGGTAGATACCTTAATCGATTATCCTCCAAGCAATCGATAGCACCCGTGGGTGTCAACAATTTCGATCTATTCTGCACCTGTATCCCAGGTGGTACAAGCCGACCTACAAATTTATAGGCTTAATTCGTAGCCTGGCTTGTACTGTATATCGAACGAAGAAGCAAACACTAGCTTTAAGGGCCCAACAATTCATAGCAGCCCAACAATTACTCGTAATACCAGCAGACAGCAGCTAATAACATACGGTATAATAGGACGTTTTTGTATCACAGAACATCGGGCAAGAATAAAAACGTTTCGACCTGATTCCAGAGGTAGATCCGAGAATTTTGCTGAGAAAATATACCACATTAACTTTCCGATTTATTGTATTTATACCAAAAAATTGTTGCATTTGTAAATAACTTCCAGATTTGAATCTATGTACACCTGTATATGATTTGCTTTCAGGACTTCTGTTTTCTGCCCACATTTTTCCGGTGATGCAAACGCTGGCCTTCGTCTTCTTTACGATCCCATTGTATGGGATGCAGCTGTTATGGGGTGTCGGCTCGGTGGTGGCATGTGTGCGAGTGTTTTGTGGCAACAGAAATTTAATGTTCGTCGGAGAAGATCGGGAGATTAGTAATTGCGTTGGCCGAGCCTGTGTCGTGTACCTGTTCCTCATGGTTATTGTATGGTTCTTCGCGGTCGCTTCTGGCGCCCAGCCCTTCGTTGCTTCGCTTGGCATGTGGGGCTCAGTCCACCACGCGTTCCAGACCGATCTTACCGGACATCTGGTCATGCTGGGAATGGTTCTCGCGCTAATTGCCGGTATAGTCGTGGAAGAGCTTGTCATCTCGCGAAGTGTTTCCGTCGGAAACGATCTCATCTACATCGATAATAATCACAAGCTTCTTGCCCGAGTCGAAGAACAAACCGGGTCACCGCCACCGGAGACCGTCTAAATGGGGACCGCGATCCAGAACCAAGGTGCCCATTAAGCCGTTATTTGGAGCCATGGTTCCACCGCTGAGTTTGCCGTTGATAACCCTAAGAAGGAATATTTTACGATATTACTGCTTGCACTGTACTATGAACATTTCAGCTTTAAAATGCGAGAATAGAATGCACCAGGCGTTTCCATTCAGTACATAATTGTGCACAACATCAATATAACCACATCGCCTTTTAATTACGCCTTTTGTTTTCCGTAAATTTAATTTTGTTGTTTGCGATTTGGCTTTTCATTCCTACGGTTGGTAGTTTAATAATTTATTATGACCAGCGTTATACAGTACATAATTTATTCGGATTTTGAAGGAAATGCTTCTGTAGCGTTACTGATGTTTAACTGCGCTGTTGTATTTTGTGAGATAAAAATATGCTTGAGCGGTATACATACTTGAACATCCATAAGCAAATTTTATATTTGTTATGATCCGCAATATAATATGCCACGCTTCAGATACTATCTTAGTAGAATTTCCGGTACCTTTTAACAATCACTTGCTGGTAAATGGTAGTAGAAGTAGCTAACCCGTTCTTACCGGACTGAAGTCGTTAGACCAACGACACCAACCCATCCGACGATAATTGGTGTACTTGAAGAACTTCTCCTTAATTTGGTTTTCAAAAATTGTGCCTGCAAGCTTTTCAGCTATGTAAATTAATTGCCCACAAAGAAAGAATGGAAGTAATCATGACTTTAAATTACGGTAGGGTCCGCTAACAATGTAAGCTGTTTATCGCTTCGACTGCCGCATAACAAGTTTAATTGGGTATGACACCGCAATGACTCGGCTCCTCTGCAGCAGTAGCGAAGCACATTGGTGCAAAGCGTTATGCATTCACATTTAAGTCGGAATAGTTGTTGAAATCGGTAATTGTAGTACAGTGCTTGTACTTCGGCAAAACGAAAGGTCACCTTCAAACCGCTTGTCTGGAAACGTTATCGGCTGAAAAAAAAACCATACTCCTAGTGCAAAGTCGTAGCTTTTTATCAATGATGAGGGCGGCGTTCCGTCTGTTTTTATTTCGATGAGTTCGCCGCATACATATATCCGCTGATCCAAGGCAAACGCGCAAGCATCTCGCCTTTTTTCAAAAGCGGTCCCATTGTTTCCCAAGTTTAAGTTTACATTCTCAAACGCCAGCATGTTTTCAAGGAACCTTAAGGGGAACAGCCCCCGAAAACGTAAATATCGTTGTTAAAGGCAAGCATGGCGAACTGAACTCGAATGCCGGGTAAATCTGGGAGGCTGCTCCATTCGGCGGTCATAGTATCAAAACATTCTACAAACATCGCATTCACAGCTGTGTCGCTAGTTGGCATCATAATATAAATTATCTTGTCGCCCAGCTGCACGCCGTCCAAAATCTGAAATCTTCCGAAATATAAAAATCGATGGCGGTCTGCCAAAAAAAAGACTACTTATGGTTTTATTGATGCTTGTACGCGTATGACTATGAGTAAAGTGCATGTCACAACGGACATACGAAGCGCGGATGTAAAAACACATTCACCGTTCACGAACCTATTCGGCACATCTAAACTGATAATAGTCGAAGGTGACGATGTATATAAAAGCAGCAAATGCTCATTACCATCCGTAAAAAAATCTTGTTATACATTGTAACGGCGTGGTTAAGCCTTTTGTCCTGTGAAAAATAAGGAACACGAAGACACGTTTGTTCGGCCAAATCCCACACTGCTGTTTCGAAGAAACTAGCGTTATCCAGATGGCCTCTACGTTCGGTCTGGCACAATACAGCGCTACTATTTAAAGCTGTAAATTTGAGCAAGTGCTGATTTTCTGCGAACTGCACCGGAAGCGGAAATGTTCTTATCGTATTAGTAAAAGGGGGAAATGTTTGTGCGTGATGATAAGTAACAGACGATGTAGTACGAGTAAAACCATCACTCGTGAAAACAGATTTTTGATGCAGCAACAACACAACTTGCTTGAAGTTCGCGTTTTCCGCTTTCGACAGCAGATGTTGCACTTGATCTGCTGAGATCCTGTCTTCGCGTGAATTCGAAGACAACGTTCAGTGCACTTGGCCAGATTTGGGTGAGTCAGAACCGGTATAAGAGGGGCGGAACCCTCGGCGACCAAGGTCATATACCGATTATAATTCATTTTGTTATCTTCCGCCTCGATTATTGTCATCCCTTTATACAAACATTAATCGTGACGACTGCTTATGAAATACGACAACTTCAGTATCATACATCCCAAGCTCCATATGTCTATTTTTCTTCCAGGGTTGTTCTGTTTAGCACCACTATCGTTCAGCGAAACAAAAGAATGCAGCATCTCAGGCGCCATATACCCAATAGTGCCTCGAAGATGGGTGAGATCTCAGATCTCAAGAACACGTACTTCGGTCCTGCATTTGCACTAAATCATCCATGTCACACAGAATTAATCTTTCATCGCCACCATGTATGGTCCGTATAAGACGTTTCCTGGTTTCAGATCTCCATGAATAAAAGCTCTGTTATGTAAATAGCTTAGTCCGTCGGCAATATCTTTTGCGTAACGCTTTACTACCGAATAATCGAGACGGTTTCCAGCTTGTTGCAGCTCTTTCATTCTAGTTCCAAGGTCTCCATTTAAGAAAGAAATTAGCCATTTCTTCCCCTACATCCAAACATCACAATAAATAGGTTAACCTTACCAGATCAAAATTCCATCATGAGCTCCACCAAAAAAGTAACCGTTACGTTACGCAATTCCATCTCCACCGAAAAAAGTCTCCCTGCATGTGGCGTGATAATTGTAATTTTAAAATATCCTACCAGGTATTCAGTATTAAAATCCAGCAGTAACTTCAGCTTGTCCTGCATTCGGTTAAACATTTCTTTATCATCCCAGTGGCCTTTCTTGTCTAGCTGAATGGCCTTTACTGCCACTTCGGTTTCCGCGATGTGATCCCCGCAGTCGGTAACAGCTGCAGTGTAGACAATCCCAAAAGAGGCCCTCCCAATACAATGTGCATTGTTGTAGCGATATCGACAAGTACAGTACTTCTAAGCTCAACCACGGTTCCCTCAGGCTCCATTTCGCAACGAAAAGTTTTACCTTCGTGTAATGATTAGCTAGCAACCGAAACCCTTACTCAAAAAAATAATGCGAGCTTATTATATTCTCTTGATAAGCAATCATACGTTCGAACTGCAAATCATTTTGTCTTGCATTATGCATTACATTCAGTGTAAAATACTACAAAGGTGCAGTACAAACTTGAAAATTACAGTTAACACAAAACCGTAACGAGTAACGACCCGTCGGCATCGATATGTTGATAGCAGACTTGGCCCATTTTCGCTTTTCCCACTTTCACCCCACCCCCACCTTCACAGTTTTATTCCCAGCCCAGCCCACCTCCGGCTACTCAAATTTTCAGCCCATCTCACCTTTTGGACCTCATTTCCATCCCCATTTTTTACAGGCTCAGCGTCGTTAATTTCGCAAGTTTTTCCGCATACCATAGAGTTGCTGGGCGAAAAAAAATTTTGGTTCCCAAGAAAATATGTTTACTTATTGATAAAATCCGCGCGGAGCCTCTGAAAATTTCAGTTTTGGAGCTCAGATGGTGCATTTTACATGCTCTAGCCTGAAAAACAGATGAAAATATCAACATTTTTTTATTTTTATTTGTTTTCTGGATCCCATCCAACTTTCAACAATCCCAGCCCATCTCACCTCATCTGCGGCTCTTTCCCACCTCATCCTCATTTCACCCAAAGGTGAGATGGGCTGGGAAAAATGGGAAAAAATTTCACCTCCACCAAAAGATGGGCCAAGTCTGGAACTTGATAGCTAATACTAGTAATTATCAGCAAAACGCCGCTTATCGTTCGGTACTGTTATGAAATTATAACATTAGCACATGCCTACTATCAGTGAACATTAATTTTAATAATCGCGTTGATATCTGAAGTTACCTGGGTTTTGCTATCTGCAAACATGTCGTATACCACTTTACCAAGCACTGTGTGCTGTGGCACTTTGGGCGCTCTGAAATACCTGTTGACAGCTTGCTGTTGACACTCAATTCAATCAAAATGGAGCAACTAAAATGTTGGAGTATGCGAGCACACGTTTAGTGATTGTTAATTTTTAAATTGGTTAAAAACAATTTGCCTGTTCTATTGGTGTCGCGACAAAAATGACCTTGACTCTTGGCCCCACATCTGCCTTCTGGGCACACGTCATAATTTCTAAACTCGATAATCATTCATTTTTTTGCAAAGAAAAGCGCAACACCTTTCTGATTGTGAGAAATCGAAAGCCAACCTGTTCGTTAAAATTTTTCTGGCTGTCATGGGTAAAAAGCTGCGCTTCCATGTTGGCACTATTGAATCGGCGGTGAAAACGCGGGATGATCACGAGTACCGGTAGCTGGCCAGATGCCGGTATAACTGCAAAGTGAATCGGGGGTCCTTAGAATTTTTCGATTTTTTCTTCGTAACAATTAAGCAGGCAGCGCTTCTCTGTCGCACCAGTGAGCATCATAATGATTGTTTAATAACTTAAATAACCCTACTCTAGCAACGGCTGGGAGTAAAATTTAAAAGCTGTGACAGCTCTTTTCCGGTATGTCCGGTATGAACTGAGCAAAGTGCGGCTTGACAAGTTCGGTTAAGCCAAGGCTGCCACTGCTAAGCCTCTACCAGAAGCGTTGATGCCCTTCGCACTTCACTTTTCTTGCTTGCCGCATCTCTTCGTTATTTTTATTTCTTCTTTTCGCTTTATAAGATCTCCGAAAAGGTACTTTAGGCATCTGATGGTATTTTAATCCATTCGCTTTACTATGGATCCGCTGGGTGAGTATCCTTTTGAGAACTCGTTAGACAGCGACGGAGTGCTGAACAATGGAAACATTGTGTTAGTTCTGCAACACAACGGAGAATGGTGGCTGGGATACGTTCAGGATGTCGATGGTGAAAATCTGTTCGTGAATTTCGGCTCCACAACTTCTCCCGCCTGCTGGATGCATTCGCGTCAGGTTTGGCCACATCCCCTTATGGACAAGAGCACATATTCCATTGACAAAGAAATCAAGGAGAACGGCAGTTTTATGGTGCGGGTAGCCTTGCGACGGGAGGACCATGGACCGTACATATTTCGGCCAGCAAGCCTTATTTTGCCAACGGTGAGCAAAGGTCTGCTTTATGTCAGACTGGATGACATGGTTCCATCTCTTTGCATGGCTGTGCGTCTGTGGCAGATTACCCATTATTACAACCTCAGTCAACCTCTGCCGCTTGCTAAATTCAATTCAAACGGCTTGTATTGCCGCAAGTATGTAGTCCCCATAAAGGACGCACGGCTTAAGCCATTGGATGTTGACAGCATGAGAAAGTGTGTCGCACGTGCTGGATCATCGTCAACACGTTATGGGATAAAAAGTCCCATCACACACCGTTTCTTCGTTAGGTTGGGCAACGATCAGCTAACATTTGTTAGTGTGCAATGTGAAGCGGACTATGCGCATAGATGGGCGGTTTGGGATGAGGAGCTCTTGGCTACGGCGTGTGAAGAATATTATTTGCCTGGCAAGCTATTACTTTCGAGTGACGTGCTATTTTTCGAGCAGTCTTCCACCGAAGGATCTGTCTGCGACGAAGGTCGGTTATTTTTAAGTAGACTTGAAATCTTTCAAAGTTTTGCAAGCCTTGCCAACATTTAAATTTTGAGTAAATCAGAAATGTAAATGCACCGGTTGCAGATTGTGGGATTTTCGATTTATCGTTGGACGTATTAGCCGAGATTCTGTATAGTACCGACTTGCACACTCAAGCGAGGCTAGTGCGGTGAGTGGGATTTCCCAGTGCCTGTATCGCTTGGGAAAACAGGGCGGAAAAAGCACTTCAGTATGCATGCATTTTCGAAAGTACTGTAGCTTCCAAAGCTGCACTACGCTACCATTGTAAAGCTCCTTTCTGTACTTGTCGAAATCGCCAGGACTGAACCATCAACGATGCGCGTATGAGTATGTACTTATTCGATATGTCTGCAGGGAATTCTCTTAAGTCATAATAATTAATTTAAAAGAAGTAAGGCACTGAACTAATACAACTGTATACCAATTTCAAAAGTCTTTAATAACTGATATAAAATTTGGACATAAACGAGCAACTCAGTTGGGATGGCACATTGGCAGTGTATCCTCGCGGCTCGCGCAAAATAATTTGGACAGAATATTTTTCAACCTAGTCCTCATAGCTTGTTAACTGTAGGGTCTGTCCACAGTGGTGGGAGATCTTGGCTGACCATGAAGGGAAACGGCACATCACCGTGGACATTCGCAGGTTCATCCCATGGTCGCACACCAGTATGTACCGCTTGGCCTGGTGTATGGATCACAAGTTGACACGGCAAACGGAAACCGTCACCTTAATCGATCTTTCGATGCCACGCGACCTGGTGGCGGGCGAACTCTTTCTCCACTTGCAGCTGCGGTACGCTCATGTCCGCTGGATGAAAGTGCAATATCGGATTCCGGAATAAGGCAGCTTACCTCTCTGTGAACAGAAATAACTGCGTCTGCGATCGATTTAGATGTTTTTGTGTCTGGTGTGAGTGCGGCTGTAGCCATACTATAAGATTTTTCTGATTTAAAGATTTTGCTAATATTTAGCCTATTACTGACGGCGTAGCAACCGTTGATTGTCTGGAGACTGGAAGATGTAATATGCGCGTTGTGTTAACAGAGTCATTGTTCTTGTGGTCATGAGTGACCGACTCATGACCTATTCTAGTACTGTTGGCTCCAAGTGATCCGATTTTTGCTTTGTTCTGCAGTTCGTTTTCGGCTGGTAACCGAATGCAAGTAAATGATTATAAGTTTTTCGCTGTGCTGTTAAATTTTTAGAACAATTGTCCCAAAACTCAACAGACTAAAACTTCGATAACAATAAGTACAGATACACGTAAACCTGGTTTTTCAAACAAGGCACGTTGCATTGTTTATATTTTGCAGTTAGTAGCCGCCAAAAACTCTTGATGCCCTTTAGCGCAATTTAACTTACCTTGTTGTTCTCCACTCGCAAGCGTTGTATTTACGCGGGAATGTTCATTTCGGAAATTGTACAACCATATTATTTTGTACTTTGGTAAAAGAAATCTTAATCAAGCCACTTATCAAAAAATGTTCATGGTTGAAATATCGATTTTTCTAATTCAAATTTCAGCATCGTAGTTTTCCATCTGTGACGAAGGCGAAAAACCGTCGATGAGGTCACAGCATACAAAAATGCGCTGGTCCAAGACAATCGCGCACGCATATCTTCTGTTCTCCAAAAGTTCTTCTGTTCTCAGTTCTTCCCAAATTTTAGTTGACGCAAACATGTTTTCACGGAGTCTTGAGGCGAATAGCCGTCAAGCACATACACATGTATGTCGTCTTTAAAGGCTAGCATGGCGAATTGACTTCAAGGTCCAGGTAAACCGGGGAGGAAACTCCTTTTTCCGGTCACGGTGTCAAAACATACCACGTGCATCGCCTTTATAGCTGTCCTGCTGCACCGTTGCACCCACTGACATGACAAGGCTTGGTAGTAATTTTAAGATCTGATTTTTACTAAAACGTGTTTTGTAATAACTAACTAGTGGTGGTTGTTAACCACATCACTGCATAGCGCGAGCTACAGTACCACTGGGTCATGGTACTGAATGTGTGGAATCGGAAAAGTGTGCCGTGACGCTCTTCGTTGCGTCAGACAAACTTTTTATTCTTGAGGATCAGTTAATAGTAGCATCTCGCTGCGCTCGATACAAATTAAAAGATTGCATAATTAGTTAGGTAGCCTTTCCGGTGGATTGTACGAGTATCGTTCTGTTCACTCGATATTTTTCGACTTAAACAGTACTATTCTGTGGCACAACAAAATTAATTAGGTCGGGTATACGCGCAAGAGAATTCATATTGTCTCCAGCACAAGCTACACCATTGCTGCGCTGGTGCAGCCTGCGCCACACCTGCTGCCATGCTGGTCTACAAACATTCATTGACCTTAGCGACTTGGCTTTCATACTGGACGTAGTATAATATTCCCTCCAATCGGTGCGCACCTCGGGATTCTGCTTTCCAAACTTTCTGCGCATTTCGAAAATTTCGGAGCCGTGAAATATCTCAGGTTATGTTTAAAGATTATCGTTATTCGATTAATTAGCGAAGAAGAAGTGATCGCTTCCCGGACGCAAAGTCGCATAATGATCTAGCGCTTGAACCCCCATTCAGCATGTCCACTGTACCGCTTAATTTCCTGTAGTTTGAGGGTGGTTTTCCGTCCCGAGTGTTCATGCTCAGTTGGTCCGAGACTGATAGTAACTTATGCACATCTGCACTCTGTTGCTATAGGCTTCGGCTGATCACGCCATTGTCCTTTCGCTCCAATTACAGTACTGCTGCATTACTTTTATCATGATGACCATGTAAACACGGATTCGCCCGACCTGTTTTTGAGTGTTTTATTGTGACCGAAGAAGCATAAATCAGGAAACGGATGCATTAAATAATTTAGTCTTTGACTTGCGGTAATATATCAAGGACTTCAGTGCCGCATCCGTTAGTAACTTGCCCATTTACTGATTAAATAAGCACGGCAGAACGAGTAGCCTCGCAGATGAAGGATTCAATGCCGATTTTATCATAACCGATTTCAACCACCTAAGTCCATAATTTAGCGTTAATATACTACTCTCACCAGCCAGGATCAGAACTTAATCTGCCATTCCGCAGATAGCACACAGTAGTGCATTATCCCAACCGCTAAATTTCCCTTAATTTTCTCCTTTTATCTGGCCCTTCTACCTATGGAGTACACAATTATGGCGGTTTATCTCTTTCGAGAACCCAAACGGAGCGAACGTGAGCTGAATCACGGAAACACGGTGTTGGTGCAGCGTATGGCCGGCGTTTGGTGGCAGGAATATATCCAAGACATCACCGATACTGGCGACTAAATGTTCATTTACTTCGATTCAGCAACGGTCAGTGCTGCCTGGATTCATGCCCGTCACATCTGGGCCCACCCGCTGTTGGACATGGATATCGTGACCCTTCACGATCAAATAGAAGAGAAAGGAGATTTGACCGTGCAGGTTGCGCTACGGAATGAAGTAAACGGACCAAACGTCTTTCGCCCGGCACAACTCCTTGTGGCTTCCTATTGCTCCTGGAGTTCTTACGCTAGACTGGATGGTGAACTGCGCCACAGCACCTCCCCGTCCACAAATGGCAGGTTGCCGCCGAAGCGGCTTTTCAAGGACCTCCTCTGTTGAACAAAAAGTTCACCAGACTACATTATCGCAAGCTTGTCGTACCGGTTAAGGACCCGCATTCCATCAAGGCTCTGGATGTAAAAGCCCTTTAGCGCTGTTTCTATCATGCTGCCGCTCTGTTCAAACCCGATAGAGAGCTCCCGGGCACCATTCCTCTCGTCAACAAGAATATCGCCGATCGGATGTTCGTATCAGTCGGAAATGCCTCGCTAAGCTTTGTATGCGCTCAACGCGATGCCAGACGTCCAATGGACGCTGCCATCTGGAATCACCGGTGTTTAATGCAGGCCTGGCAGAACTGTCGTATCGAACAATCTTTCGTCGAGAAGATGCCACTTCTGAAAAAATCTACAGAAAAGATCGGTGATCGTGGTTCCGACAGTAGGAAGTTCCATTGTGTGCAAACCCTCCAAAAGCAAAAAGGGGTGTTTTTATGAATATTTGCTATTTTGGCCATACTCCATATTCTTTGCCGAACATTAGTCTAATAATTCTGTCAAAGCATACTTTTTGCATTCGGTTTGGGTATGTACATCCAGTTCCAACAGAATTCCGTTCAGGACCGGATAATCCAACTCCCAGATCCTCCCATCTGCAAACAGCAGCTTTTTCATTAGTCCTTCATTAATATAACTCATTGCATGATAATACACGAATTAAAGAGATACAAAAACGAAACACCAACCAAATAAAACAAATCTACTTCATATACAACGCAATAAACTCGAAAAACAATGGCAGTTTCTTGGCTTACCGGCATTATACGGTGCTTCCAAATATGTCATCATCGATGCAGACACTGCATTACCGGGACAGTTTGCACCCTTGGAGCACGACGCTGTGTACAGGCTGGCCTGGTGTATCAGTGACGCTGTGATGTGTACACCAAAACTCTGACTATCAGACAGGCCATCACAACAAAGCCCTCTGGAGTATTTGTATCGGTATTAAAGGATTTACTAAGGGCCAAGAAGGTGCTCATGGATCTGATTATCATCCAAAACGGAACCAGTCGAGCAGGAGTTATCGGCGTTAACAACGGCCTGTCTGTTTTCGATCTCCCCACAGAATGGAAGTGTCAAGATATCGCCGAGCTGATCATCATTTGCCATAAATTGTTACTAAAGAATTACACTATAGATAATGTTGCTGCTGGTATGAGGTGGATTTTACATAAAGGTGACGTGCATAGATGCTAGTACGTACGTTCTTACCTATAATTACTGTACCCCTTCACCTACGTCACTGCGGTTGTTCAGTTACTGCTATCTGTGATTCGCCTGTTCTCATCTTGATAGCGATATATCTCTTGCTCCTAGAAGTCTATATAAGATCGTGCTTCCTGTGATAACGGCATCAGTCTCGATCACTCTAGACTGGCAACTTACTTTTAACTTCCCTTGTGTTGTGCATATGATTGTGCGTTAGCGAAGTAAAGCATCTTCTGTGGTTATCGACGTTCGTAATTAGCTTCGGATTATAGCGTGGTAAACACGGTATGCTCGTGCTTCGTCCGACCCGCATGTGTATCGACCAGGAGTTAGAAGTATATCTCAGCACAATTGCTTAGGGATTTCTGAAGGTTCGTGTTCCTGATTATTCCATCCGTTCTTACTGTAACAATTGATTTGGGAGTTGTTCTACCCACTGAGCAAGGCAGGGATAGTGACTACGACAATCCCGTCCGGAGAGTCGTTAGTCAATCCGTACTTCTTAGTACCGTTGGCAGTCACATAATACGACATGGCGCCCAACGATGGTTCGTAATTTTCCCGATGTTACAGTAAAATTGTGGATGGAAATTTGATGGTATTTGCGTGTGTCAGTGTGTTGTGGTCCGTAGAAAGGCGTCGAACCGAAAGGTACGCCGAAGGTGGCTGAGCTTCCTCGCCAAGGGTTTTATTTTAAAGCGAGCTTCCTCGCTAAATGGGTGTGCTTCCACACCCAATAAATTTAATAATTGAATTCGGACCGAAATTCGCGCAGTAATCAGTAGTCGAAACCTTAAAGGTCGGCTACGGTGTTTTGCGGAAAGCAGATAAAAGTGGGTAATTTCCGGGTTGTCTGCGCAAAGCAGTGACCGCGGTGAATAAAGTGTAATCAGCAGCGTCAGCGTGCCTGGCTTGCAGTCAGACAGTGGCTGTAGATAAAATCAGGGCTTAAGCCATTGTCAGTGGCAAGCCTAGATAAAATCTTCAGCAGTGCAGAACAAAAGGCAAGCTGAAATCGGTAGCCAAATCAGTAGTCAGTGATAGCTGGCTGCGAAAACGTAAACAAACCAGGTAGTCGGTGACTGACCTGAACCCGTAGGAAGTAAAATTTAACAGTGGAATAAACCGCAAAGGTTATCCGCAGTAAATAATCATAGGAATACGGCAATAAGTGCTGTTTGGTGTTTCAAACCTAAAAGGTGAAACACTGGACAGTTAAACTGTAGCACAATCGCTGCTGTGTGTTGTAAGCGTGTTTGGGCACAATAGCCGAAGATACGTATTGTAGTTGACTTGGGTAGATTAACCGCAAAGGTTAACTACCAAATAACAGCTACATAATGTCGGATAAAATAAATGAAAATAATACAACGCAGTTGGTCACAATTGACCCGAAGCGTGTGATATTAGGTCCATGTGAGGCAATATCACAACAGAAAAAATTTAAATTTAATGCGGAAGTAATTCCTTTGGGACTGATGTACGAGGCGTTGGGAGTTGAACCTCCCAGCCAGCCAAAAGCTTTTTGCGGACAAACCTGGATTGACTACCAGGAAATCGGACAGTTTTCAAACCCGAAACCTAGAGCACCGTTCTACTACCGTGGTTGGGTAGAATCAGAACAGTGTATACCGGAAACATATCTGGATGTTTCCGAAGAAGAGTTTAACGAAGCGGTTAAACGGGCAAATCAACAATTGCCTGAGTGTAAAAAGAAAATGGAAGAGCGAAGAGCAGTAGTATCTGCTAGCGGGCAGCCGCAGCTTCCAGAACCGACTCGTCAGTCGGAAAGTACACAGAACTTGTCGAATGTAAACGCACAGACAGAGGCGACTGGAAGTAAGTCAGTACAGGAAGCTGACATCCCGGTTGAGCAGCTAATTCAGGTAGATGATCAGCGTGAAGTGGTATCAGAAGGCGCAAAGCCAATAGATTTTTCGAAAATTACAAGAGAATCGACGGCACAGTCGCCGATATCCGATGAAGAAAACTTCCTGTCAGCGGCCGTTTCACCGGAACGCAATCAGATGAATTTTGAACTTGATCAGTCGTTCAACGAAGATCTGGCTATAAGCGGCAATATTACGGCAGAGTCGGAAGTGATGGTAGTTCATCCTTCGCAGTCGTATTTGAGGAAAATTCTGGCAGAAACAGATTTCGCTCCTCCCGATAACGCTTTTATGGAAAAAGTGGTGCAGGTTGATAAAGCACTTGAGGCGACAAAAGCGGATAATGATGTTGCCCTTGTAGCACGGCAGTCAACCGGCACGGTGTTTAAGAGTATTCGCAAACTGATCGGCTCTTTTAACAGCAGTGTTCAGTCCATGGGTCAGATTCGGCAGTTGAATACTGATCTGGAAAAAGAACAAGAAGATAAAAATTTTTTTCGTGCAAAGTACAACGAAACGCGCGTTAAGCTTAACGAAGCGGGCGAAGAAATATTTCGTTTAAATGAAAAAGTTCGGTCAAACGAAAGAAATTTATTGAATCACCGGGATAACATGAATGAATTAAAGGGTGAGCTGGATGAAATTTATAAGGAACGAGACCTGTTGAGAGATGTAAATCGCAGACTCGAAACTTACCTGGAAGACGCCAGGGGAGAACTGGAAGAGTTTCGAAACTCCGAGCTGGCACAGTCTCGGGATACCCAGTCCAGCGCGGCTTTAAAAACTGAAGTATCGTCATTAAAGGATCAACTCGATCAGGTTCAGGACGAACTAAAAAATGAAAAATACAATCATGCGAAAACGACGAAAAATTATAATGATATGGCTGTGCAGCGTAAGAAATTTTGGGATGAGCTGCAGGAATTAAAGCAGAAATTTGTACCAGAATCGGAACGGGTATCCAAACTGGAAGAAGAGTTAGCGATTTGTCGCTCCCAAAATGATTTTATGCATCAATCAGCGCGTACAGTGTTGTCAACAACCTGTAAAGATAATGAAGAAGCATTACAAGCACAAATAGCACAGTTGAAAGTTGATTACGCGAACGAAAAACAAGCGAAGGAGAAAGCGCAGAAAGACTATACTACTGCTAAAAATAAGAAATGCACAGCGTGCGATACGGCAAATACGGCTAAGGAAAAAGCGCAAGCTGCTGCTTATGAAAAACAGGAAGAAGTCACTCAGTTGAGGAGAGAAAATAATCAGCTGAACACGGCTCTGCGCGAAAGTGATCAAACGGTTAAAAATATGCAGACAGAATTTGCTGGTTTTCAACAGGAATTAATGCACTACAGAAATCAGAATGTACGTTACGCGGTGATCAAGCCGTTTACCAACCGGAAGTACCTGTCGGGACGGGTGAAGTCAGAGTACCTCCGCGTATGTCGCAATACGACGGGCAGAATTTTGGTCCTTCCGGACTGAATATATCCCAGCCGTATCAACAGGTGCGCCCCCCACCGGGTTCAATAATACTAGATAACAGTTCCGGTGCTCCGCTTGTTCCGGTGCATCTGCAGTCGCAGCCACAGGCTCCCATGCGTCCGATTTCCGCTGCACAAAACGAATCACGCGTTGAGAACCGGCACAGTGCATGTGGTAACGTGCATTCACAGCAGAATGCTCCGCCTGAAAATGTTGACAATAATGGTAATGTTCATCCAGGCGTGGTCGCTCATGGTGCAGTCTCACCTCGTGGTGGAAGTCCCGCTTTGTCAGTGTGTTCCAGTGCTTCCCTAGAATCGGCAGTACAGTTGTTAGTGGAGCAAAATAAAATAGCAACGGAACAGAACAAAGCACAAATCGAAAATCAAAGTAAAATGCTGGAGTTGTTAATTGCTCAAACTAAAAACTCTTCAAGAAGAACTGAAAAACTAATGCATTTACAGCCGTATGAAAATGCAAAGAAATCTGGTCCGATTGACCAATGGCTTAATAACGTCGATATGTGTATTCTGTCGAATGACTGGGATGATGAGAGGACGTGCAGAGCGGTAGCCGCTTCTCTCAGAAATAATGCTGCGATCTGGTTTAAAAAATTGTTTGAAGATAACCCAAACGAACAATGGATTACCTTCTTCCGTCCCAAACTGTTGAAACATTTTAATTCAGCTGTCACACCTGCTGAATTACGTCGTGAGATGAACGCCCGTATTTTCCGTACAGATGACACAGTTGCATCGTACACAGACAGCTTTCTGCACTGGTTTGAGGTACTGCAGATGTCTGAAGAAGAGCGTGTGGGTATCCTTTTGGATGGCCTAAAACAAAACAAAGAAAGCTGGTTTACGCAGCTGTACCCGCAGAATGTTAAAACTGTGGACGATATAACAGAACGGTTACAAAAATTAGAGACAATGGAAGTGTCTCTGAATTCCGAGAAAAGGACTGTTGCGCCTAACGCTGCGCAGAGAAATGGTGATTCGCGTAATTCAGGATATCGCGGGAATTTTAATAATAATAATAGTAATAATGGAAATTACCAGCAGCGTCAGTCAAATAGGAATTATGATCACGCGCCGCAGTTTCCTTACCAGAATGGTCATGGTGCGATGTATCAGCTAGCAACGCCGCAGATTGGTCAGTATTCGCAGTGGCAAACGCAGTACGGACAGTGTGATCCATTTAATTACCGCCCGAGCAATAATAATAACAATAATAATCGCGGAAATAATTTTTACCGTGGGAATAACAGCGGTGGTTTTCGACAGTCGTATCACGGAAACAATAATGTCAATCAAAACTCGCAGAATCCCGGTGCACCTGTAAACAACCAGTCGGCTTTTGATGAACGTAGAATTAATAAAGATAAATGGTATACGTGTCACGGAATTGAGATTTGTTACCGCTGTCACGGTTTGCATCCGGCAGGTGGCTGCCGCAATGAGCTTGTTCTTCCCCGGTTGTATGAGCCTACGCCGCAGGTATTGGCACGGTGCAACGCTTCGCTGTCGCAACAGCAAGTAGCTCCGTCACCGGCACAGTGCAACATAATGGAGATCATGAAAATGGAGGTTTTTCCTGCTTCTAATGTAGAAACGTCTCCTGCTAAAAAGAATTGTTCATTCAGTAGCAGTCAAGTTTGTGGGGGTAGTGTCCACCCACAAAAGAATAAGAATATTGAGCAGTCAAGTTTGTGGGGGTGCGGTAAAACAGTTGCCTGTGCGTGATGTGAAACCCGATAGTCCGGATGTCAGTCGTACAGCTACAGGATCCAGTCAAGTTTGTGGGGGTAAAGCTACGGCGATTCCGCCTAGACAAACAGTGAAATTACCTGCACAATGCATGGTAATCGGAAATAAAACAATTAACGTTGTACCTGTACCGGCCGATCATAGAAATGTTGACAACGTGCACGAGCGTCCGAAATCACCGCGGTATGTTCGCAGTCCAAATTCTTTTTCCCGGATGAAACCTAAAGAAAGTCTGTCAGAGGAGAACAAATGCGCGACCACGCAGGACTTTTTTGATTTGCAGTTCTGGAGGAATATACAGAAGCAGTGTGTAGATAGTAAATGCTGGTATCGGGATCTTAAAAATCAGAAAAGATTGCATCCGATCTTTCTACCGCAGGGAATTGATCAGCTTGTTTTTAGTGAAGGACTTGTGTGCCGAAAACCAGACCACAATGGCAAATCACCGAAAATCTACGTACCTTGTCAGTGGCGTAAAGAGTTGATTACGCGCTTTCACGAGCTAATTGTGCACAATCAAGTGTACGGTGCTAGCGTTGAACTGTCTCCATTTTTAGTGCAGCGGTTTTACTGGCCAAATATGAGTATTGACATAGATGAGTTCGAAAGTAAATGTACGCAATGTCAACCAAATGGCAACGTTGTGCGAAAATGTAATGCGGCCGTCATAGCGGGAGAGTGCGCTGCACCGCTTTCACAGGCTGCTGATGTTGAGCCTAAAAGTTGTCAGCAGCCAGTCTGCAAAAAGCGAAAAATTTAATTTTAATGCGTTTGCTAGGTGATGTCAGTTCCCAGTAAAATATCTGCAAATAAACGTGCAGATATGTTAATCGTTTGTGCTGTTTTTAATTTAAACGAAAAATGTTGAAATTTTAATGTTAATAATAATTTTGTAGTGGCAGAACTTCGCAACACTGCAATATCCTGAATGTATCCCAGCATAGGTTTTTAAAATTTTAAAAGTAAAAGGCTTACCTGTTGTTCAAATTAAATCCGAAAACGGAAGGCTTGGTTGTAAAGTCGTCAACAAGCGCAGAAAAGCAATGTTGGCCAGCAGATGTAGTGGAAGCGTAACACAGCAGTATAACCTAGCGTGTATGTACAGTACAGTATATTGCAAAATGTTTAAAATCTTACCTTTGGACGGATGTAGGAAAAGCAGTACGGTAAGATATCAGGAAAGCATTGTTGCAAAAAGCTTCCACAAAACGAGGGTTTTGATCGTCCGTACGAAAAGTGGTTGCGAGGTACCCGATAGCGCAGCAACAGAACAACGACAGACAGCATCAGCAGTACTGTGTAGTGGGTTCCCGATACGCACCACACAGCAGTCCCGAAGATGTCTTTCCTTCGCAGCAGATTCCAAGCAGACCAGAAGAGTAAACCATTTTCGATGTTCCAGATAATATAGTGCAATTTTGAACGCACTTTTCGTAAAAATTAATATTTTAAAACTGAAAGAACGCTGTCAAACTCAGACTGTTTGGGAAAAGGAAAAATGGAAAAGTGTGCGTTGAAAGCCTGCAGATTTCGCAACCGGAAGTGCTGTGTTCCGTGTAGCTGCCATACTGTGCGGTTGCACTTTCGTTCTTGGCCGTGTTGCAAATCACACTGAATTTTCGCTTTTTCTGTTCGTTTTTGTTTTGCTTCTTCCCTTTGGACTTCGGACGCCTCCTGGATCCTGGATCTCCCGCCATTCCAATCACCGTGGACCTCCGGATGCCAGCGAGCGCCAAAGATCCCACCAAGTCACATTTCATTCGGATCAGGCGTACAGTCATTATGGGCACCGGACGGACACGTGTGGATTGCGCGGAGATGGATCAGGATGGAGCGTCGCACAATCACAGGATGGAACGGATGGATTTGTTTGCGTTTGCGGGAGCAAAAAACCGTTTGTGGGGGTGACGTGTATAGATGCTAGTACGTACGTTCTTACCTATAATTACTGTACCCCTTCACCTACGTCACTGCGGTTGTTCAGTTACTGCTATCTGTGATTCGCCTGTTCTCATCTTGATAGCGATATATCTCTTGCTCCTAGAAGTCTATATAAGATCGTGCTTCCTGTGATAACGGCATCAGTCTCGATCACTCTAGACTGGCAACTTTTAACTTCCCTTGTGTTGTGCATATGATTGTGCGTTAGCGAAGTAAAGCATCTTCTGTGGTTATCGACGTTCGTAATTAGCTTCGGATTATAGCGTGGTAAACACGGTATGCTCGTGCTTCGTCCGACCCGCATGTGTATCGACCAGGAGTTAGAAGTATATCTCAGCACAATTGCTTAGGGATTTCTGAAGGTTCGTGTTCCTGATTATTCCATCCGTTCTTACTGTAACAATTGATTTGGGAGTTGTTCTACCCACTGAGCAAGGCAGGGAAGTGGTTAGTCTCTTACACTAAACCGTACAGAGTTTCTTCACACGACAATATCGCCAGCGGAGTTCGCTTGGGCGCCGGCTATAATGTGGACGAGGCTGGAGCACGTACTTCTGGAGCCAAAACGCCCAGTTCCTGACCAAACAGAATCTGTAGCATGGGCATCAGTTGCTGGTGACCAGTAACCACGACGTTTGCGTTGAGCGCATGTCCGCGGCCGTTGATTTGTGGATCGTGCCATCAAGGCGGAAGACGAGGGCGCGTACGTTTTTGCGTATCTTGGTAAATGTCCTCAGAGCAGCGAGAAAGATCCAGTCGGGTGTTAACTGCGGGCTGGACCAGCATACCGCGTTACCGTTTTACCTTAGGGTCAATCTGCAGCGCAGATTGAAGTTTGTTTGATTCACGCCTCAATATGCTCCTGGGTCATTTGCGTATGATACAAAACATAATACTGTTGATATGCAAAAAAAAGATTGTATAAGATTAACATAGGTATAAGCATTTTCTTCTATTGTACGTACGTATTAATCGTTAATACAATTAGAATATTAATTTTCGATTATTGCTACATTAATTAACCTTGTAATTACTAACTTTTTGTAATTTCTTTCTATGATAATGCTTGGCTACTTGGCTCGTTTACAGTGAACTCTTTGGCGCAGGGTCCGTTCGTAACTCCAACCGACTCTCCTGATAGTGCAGCGAGTACAGTGAAACCTCATAGTACGTACGCCCCGAAGAAACGTACACCCCTTTATTACGCACGAAATTTTCCGAACGGTGGTGTGCGTATTTCAGAGGTTTCACTGTATGCTGAAGGCGGATGTGAAGTAAGGGGGGTACGGCAACGAGTCTGGGTGAGAAATGACACAACGCCGTTAAATGTACCTGCCTTGCAACGGCAACTGTGCCTGTCCGTCATAGAATGTCATCTTTGCTGAATTCTTGAAACACCGATAGCTTTGCTTGGCCAAAGCTGGTAAATTCCAAAGAACGGCTGTGTTCCGCTGCTGCGCGCAGTGCTTTGTGTGAACTGAATTTGAGCTGAATAGTCCAAGAGCATTCTCCCAAAAAAATTTTTATCCGAGTTTTCTGTTTCTGTCTGCATTCAAACCGTTGGAAATGCTATTTGCGCGGGTACGCTATTTCCTCAAACCGATGATTATGCGCAAAAAACGTTTTTTCGCCAGTGTACACATTCCTAGTGATTTGGCTTCACAGGGGTGTAAAGCATTCGAAAGAGCGATCGCAGCGCGCGAATGCGAAATTTTAATAGTTAATTCTGCCAGCTAGGCTGTTCTACAATAAATCGAAAGCAAACAGAGTTGTACTTAGTATGTCAAACAGCGCTGAAGTTACAGTCTGTATTTGGCTGGCAAGTAACTTGAGATGTTCGAGGAATATGAGCCCCTCGATACTGCTGCATTTGCAGATTACCTCCAGGTTTTGCTCAGTGACCAATGGGAAGGGAGAGAAAACACATCAGGGAAACCTTCCAGCTGGGTTCGAGATACAAAAGCTATAATGATCTTTGTACGACCGTTTGATCGATTGCCGTGGCAAGTGTGCCGCAGCAAAGCAGGATACTAACGCGATACTGTGTACGATTTCCGGTGAAAGCCGTGCAAAGTCTCATGTTTCCTGACTGTTACTGGTAACACAGGGTATGTTGCAGAGTATGCTGCAGGGTATGTCACACAGGGTATTTTCGATTTCCCGGCCCGTTGCTTCCCAGCGAACCTCCCCTTCCGCATGGATTGACTGTCGCGAGCGCCATGACAGGCCAACCTTGCTCTGAAAACCAATACAACATTTCTTTGCAGTTCAGACCAATCACTTGTATACTGCGCCGACAACGGCTGTCCTGGAGCGCTCTTTAATGTCAAGAAGTCCATCCGCGTGACCGGTATGCTGATATAGGAATCGTCACGAAATCGTCATGACCCGCAACGTTCACCGGATGATCATACCCGGTCGCGGCCCGCGGGGAGATCCTCCATTTGCCGAGCGCGCTGATGCGAGCGATTCGGTTCATTCCGATGTCATCGGCTGGATGTGTTATCGGCTAATCGGGCTGACCATAACGCCTTGTGTCCCGTAGCATGTCACGGCCGAAGCTCCCGCTGCCAGGCCGCTGTCCCGTCTGGTGGCGCTAATATTGGAGGTCGACCAAAATCTGGTAGTTAAAAAGCAGCATTTTCCCGGGATGCAACACATTCGAATGATCCATATGTCAGCCTGCACGATCGCTTTACTGGAGCAAAACAGATTCAACGGTCTGCCGCGACTGAACAATCTGATATTGGGGTGTGGGCTAAGGCGGGGTTTCCAGATACTACGTAACCAGCCGATTCAAAGGCAGACATTTTAACTAAAGCAGGCTGAAGTGTACATCGTACGTCGGAATACGATTTTAATGGGCAATAGCCGCTAAGGTAACAAAGATCGCAAGCGCCGGTGCACTACATGAAAGTTAAAATTTAAACATTAAAAAAAACAACCAAAATCTCTATCTTGTCTTGGGTTAAAAGGCAACGTGCTCAAAACAGCCGTGGCATTTCCTTTAACAACGGCCAGGCTGAAACGCTGCTTAAGGAAAGCAGTAGAACGCGCTTCTCCAGTTAAGTCTCGAATTTTGCGGCCCATGAAATGCAACAGTTCACTGAAAGCGGGGCCAAATACTCCCAACGTCTCTATCACTAAAGAATAAAAAAAGTTTCCATTTTCCATAAACGAATATGTCAGGCGTTTGGAATTTTCTGCAAGCTGAGCAACTTGTCCAGGTTTCTTGTAGCTGCCGGTGACATGCGAGTCTGCGACCGTACACCAACTGGTTACATCCCACACCAGTGGTTTCCCTTGGCGGACAGGAATCAGCGTCATGCCATCGGGCCTTTTCCCGTTCACACTCGATAAGCCGGTCGGTTCCAGTTGACAAGGAAAACCGGCGCTCTAACAACAATTCTTGGTAATACTATTCATTTCTTTATGCCGCGCCCATCGTCCTTTGGTTGACTTATTACAGGATAACCCGTGGTGGCCGTTAGTGTCTACTTGCTTACCACATGCGATACAGTTGTGCGCCACCACCACTGGTAGTCCAAACCGCAACGCAACACCGATTCTGACATCATCATCTCTGAGGAAAGTTCCAAGACATGGAGCGGGCAACGCATTCAACCAAGCTCCAGAGTCCCTGTTAAATGCAGCCAACAAGACCGCCCTGCCACGGTCGTTTCCAAATAGGCGCGCACCCCGTGAATAATAGCTTCGGCTCCGCCTTTGATTCCAAAACCAAGCTGTACTTTGTTACATAGTTCCTTCATCTTCTCAGTGCACCGTTGACTAACCACTTTCGATATCAGACGTCTGAGAGTTTCTCCAACTGCGATGGGACGTATGCCGCCGTCCTTTTTAGCTAGTGGGATTAGGTTGGCGCCGAAGAAAAAGGGTATGATATCTTCGGGGTAGAGCCCGGCACGAGCAGCAAAAGTGCTGCTCGGTTCGCTCGTTTTCACTTGCCTAAACTTTCCGCTCGTTCAGCTCGCTCGTTTTTCAATTTTACTTTGTTGTCGCTCGCTCGACTCGATCGTATTCTTATTTTTGCAAATCGGCTCGCTCGTGAGCGGAGATAATTTAACGTTTCAAATTTTTTTGCGCGAATTAGATATTCCAAAATTTTAGTCTCCCCAAAAAGCAAAAACTTAGGCAAAGATGGGCATATAAAATAACTTCTCTTCCACATTGGCAATTCGTTTTTTATAGCTTCGTTTTTTCGCTAAAATTTGAACTGATTCCCGTTTCCTTGTGTGTTTTGAAATGCAATAAAAATGTCTGAAATGTTCACCACAGCTATAAAAGAATTAAGAAACCGGTTCAATAATGTCTTTGTTGGTTACGGATTATCGTTACTTCGTCCCGAGACTCCTGACTCCCGAGCCCAACATGTCGAGGAAAAGTTTAGTAAACTAGTTCGCGCGAAGCGCGAAGGTGACGGTGATTTACGACCCTTTTCAGCTTGGTCAAGCTAATTTTTACGCAGGAACTCTTTCAGTTCGCATAAAGTCAGCCTGTAAGCTCGTGATCGCTCGCACCCGGCGATCCCGCTCGCTCCGCTCGCTCGCATATTTTTTCCTGTTGCTCGGCTCGTTTATAAATTTGCAAAACAGCGCCTGCTCGCTCGAAGTAACCGAGCGCTCGCGAGCCGAGCCGAGCTGCTCAGCTCGTGCCGGGCTCTACTTCGGGGACCACGTTATGTAGTACATGGTTCACGAAATCGAGAGTTTAACCCGTTTAGGGTAACTAAGACATTGCTTCCCTGTACCTTCCCTTAAAAGCGAAAACAAAGATTTCGAATATTTAGACGCTGCAACAGCCTGTGATACCAATGGACCATATGGAACTCTATTGGAACTTATTGGAACTGTTGGAACTACTGTACATCGTTTAATTGCGAACTAACGTGACACCAGTGGAACCTATGGAACTCTATTGGAACTTATTGGAACTGTTGGAACTACTTTTACACCGTTCAATTGCGACCTGGTGTGACACCAGTGGAACCTATGGAACTCTATTGGAACTTATTGGAACTGTTGGAACTACTTTTACACCGTTCAATTGCGATCTGGTGTGAAACCAGTGGAACCTATGGAACTCTATTGGAACTTATTGGAACTGTTGGAACTACTTTTACACCGTTCAGTTGCGACCTGGTGTGACACCAGTGGAACCTATGGAACTCTATTGGAACTTATTGGAACTGTTGGAACTACTTTTACACCGTTCAATTGCGATCTGGTGTGAAACCAGTGGAACCTATGGAACTCTATTGGAACTTATTGGAACTGTTGGAACTACTGTACATTGTTCAATTGCGCCCTGGTGTGACACCAGTGGAACCTATGGAACTCTATTGGAACTTATTGGAACTGTTGGAACTACTTTACACCGTTCAATTGCGACCTGGTGTGACACCAGTGGAACCTATGGAACTCTATTGGAACTTATTGGAACTGATGGAACTACTGTACATCGTTTAATTGCGCCCTGATGTGACACCTGTGAAACCAATGGAACTCTATTGGAACTTATTGGAACTGATGGAACTACTGTACATCGTTTAATTGCGACCTAATGTGACACCAGTGGAACCTATGGAACTCTATTGGAACTTATTGGAACTGTTGGAACTACTGTACATCGTTTAATTCCGACCTGATTTAACATCACTGGAACCTATGGAACCCGTTGGAACTGTTAAAATTTCTGAAACTAACAGCACTGCGCCCTTTTGTGATACCAAGGGGAAGCATCGAATGCTGTTAGAACTCATTGAAAATAATATCAGTATTTACTAGGTTTCTAATTATGTTTCTAATATTTTAGTAGCTAACGCTACTAGAAAATACCGGTGATGCTCAAGCTGATATCATTAGGAAAGGTTTTACGACGTTTTATGCCTAATTAAATCGGTAAAATGGGAAAATACAGAAGCACTGCAGAAAATCAAATCTATAATTTAGAGCATTTTAGCTAAGCATATGAAGAGCTAACTGCAAAAATCGATATTTCATAATTAATCGATAATTAATCGATAATTATTAGTAATTAGTTTTTATCGCTTAGAACAGTACGGACATTTCCAAGGTTTCTGTTTTGGTGGTGGTTTTCCTGATCGGGTAACACGAGGTGACACATACGATGCGCACATATGATGGAACGCATGTTGGCAGACTGTGCAGCGCAACCACGGTTTATCTTTGTTGTCCGGAATAAGAGCCGCATGACACTTCCCGCATTTTATGATCTTGTTGGATTCGCTTACATTGGTGTCGTCTTGGCTGAGTTTTCCGAAACGATGATGAATGGCACGTTTTGTAGCTTCGGGATCATCTTCATTAAACTTCCGTGAGTTTCAGGTCGAAGGTTTATAGTTCTGTACAGTTTGCTTCACTAGCAAGTCATTACGATTCACCTTCAGAAACAACGGAAGCGGAAAATGATCGAATTTTGTTTCCTGTGTGGCCTCTATCTGCAGCGTAACGTAACATTATAAAATTTCGAAGAAACTTAAATACAAGCTCGATTTATAGTTTCTAGTTAAACTCTACCTTTTACAGTCATTTTCTTTGGAGTGCTGCTAGATAGTGGTGAGAAGTCACTGTCGTTAGCTGGAAGTGACTGATCCATGTTAGCATTTTGCGTTCCAGATTCAGTAGCTTCCATGGCGCTGCTTTTGCGCTTTCCCATGCCGCTGGACGTTTGCGAAGCTAAATCCACAATTAAAAGTACAAGGAGGATTGGTGTTGAGTCGGCAACGAATTTATCGCTTAAAGTTAGACTGATCTCCCAATCGACTGGAGTCTTATTAAGCCGTCAACCGTGGATGGTTGCCTTTCCTAGCATGCGCAACCGCCAACCGAGGTATGATGGTAGCCAGGTAGCGTCATGTAATATACTGCAGCTGGCATATTACGGAGCTGTTGATTAGTGCAGCCAATTACGGTTGACGGCCAAGACAGCCTCCAGTGGATTGGGTGTTCATACTAACTTTAGGCGATAAATTCGCTGCAGACTCAACACCAAGGTGGAGCTGCTGTATCGCAACGAGATTCGCTTCGAATTCAGGACAAGGCCTAAGTGTACACCGGTCTTACCATCCAAATGTGGCCTCGCTTTACATGTTGCAGCAGCAGGATTACCGGCCAAGCTCACCTCGGGCGCTTCGTCTAGAAACTTGCAAAGCACCGACGATACCATCAATCTTTGCAAGTTGCTCTGAAGTAAAGTGCTCGCGTGGCAAAATTAAGCAACGCCTCCGCACACCCTTCAGATTCACTTGGTGCTGCTTGTCTGCCCAAGCAATCTGGCCAATGCACCAGCGATTTTGTTGCAACGGGTCCTCTTTTGTTGCATCAAGGAACAAGTCCTTCCGAACAGCCAAACAAAGCACGTCTTCCGCAATATCTTCAAACTTCACCGAGAGAACGTTCTTAAAAAACGTATTCATCTGAAAGAATATATCGTCAAATTTGTATAATGAATTCGAGAACTAGATAATTAATTTTGTTGTACTGTAGTACATAAAGGGCGTTTTATTAGGCATTGCCATCTAAATATAACAAAGTGCAAAGCGTAAGTACACTACTTTACCGTACAGACTAAATCACATTTGTAGTATTTAGATAAGATTTTTTAGCCTGGTGTCAGTTTCGATAATTTGTGTCACATGTTCTGTGAGCAGTTTACTTGACGAAATACATCGTTGAGCAACTTACCTTTTCGGCATGAGTTGTCTTGCGTAGTGCTTCTATCAGTTGAGCAAAACTTTCTTTGGCCAAGCAGTTGCTTCGGTCGGGAAGTAAAGATAGCGTTGTACGCGCGGTCAAACCATTGCGCGGTAAAGTTTGATATGGCGCGGCTTTTGAAATATGCCGTAGCAGGCACTGGAGAGCTTCTTCTTGGTCGTACTCGCAAGCAACTTTACGGGCAATCTGCAGAAATATTTAGGAAAAACATAATGGATGCAGAGTCATCTAGCGCTATGGAAATAACGTTGTATAGTACCATATCCCCAACAGACGACAGTATAGAGTATAAGGTTGCAATTCGGTGAGTGCAGCTAACCATCCCCGCTGATAATAGTTTTGGTTTGATGATTTCGTATTTGTCATTAACCGCATTAGTCAGTTCACGGCATCCTTCTTCGCCAAAATGAAGCAGTTTCCGAACATCTTTGGATGCACGTTGCTGCGCTTGCTCCAGAAGTGTGAAAACAGTGTTATCGATGTCGGTTATCTCGTTATCCATGGTCAAAATAGCTACCCGACTCAATGTCCGCATTCTGTAAAAATCTCAGGTTTTCGTGCGTGATGGCACAATCAAATAGATTACAGAGCTTAAAGAGCGAAATTTATTGAGACTGACTTGTCTTTAGTTGCGGCAGCGATATCATCCAGGCCATCGGAATTCATGGTAAGCGCACAAGACGAAGTAGGATGCACACCACCGCTGTTTTTGTTGCGATAGTTTAGATATAGTTTTCTTTCGTACACGCATCCAAATATACGTGGCATTAGCTTAGGAAATGGATTATCGTGGATTATTAAAGGAACGTGCAATTTTGTCCAGCGATCAAGGCCTGCGGAATCAGTTATTTCTCCTAAATTGCAAATGTCTTCCATATTTGTCCCGAAAATTGACACGCTCAGATTCAGAAGGAGCGTTTTCCACGTGTCTGGGAGTCCGACTACGATCAAGCTTGGCAAACCTTTGAAGTGCCTGATCAGGACTCCGTAAAACATGCTGATCCAAGAATGTGCTAAAAATTATTTCCAATATTCAAACTTATACAAGTTCAATTTAAAAGTATTTCTGTTTTTTAGACAACCAATACAAATGATTAAAGTAAATTCTGGTGGACGCGATATCAGTTGATATGGTTACAATAATATCTTTTTATAACAGTGATAAATATTTCACTCACCACACATTAGTACGAAGGTGTAGTAGACATCTAATGGCAAATGTTGTCTTATAATGGCAAACAGTCTGGCCTTCTTTTTTCCTTGATAGACCTCGACAGTGCGGGAATTAAAACGGATGACAAAGGTGTCCACATATGCACATTTATCGGTGTCGGCTAACACCATTCCACCCTCAAAGGGACGAAAATTATGTCCGGACCAAAACGAAAGTAACACCGTCTTCTTGCAGTCCCAGGTGCGAAACCGCTTGCCGCTTTAGCGGAATTTCTTTGTCTTCGCATTTCCTGTAAGAAATGAAAAACATGCATACATGTGCGTTGCGTCCTCACAATTGGGTGCTTCATTGCGTCCAGTCCTTACATGTATACTAGTACTTCTGTGTAGCTACATAATAACATCACAAAAGCACTTGATCCATTATTATTAGTATACTTTCTGTTGTGTTTTTTTATATACAGCTTTCTTATGTAGTTTTTCAATATATTTTACGTACTCAATATACCGTTGGTGATACCACTCCCTAACTTGGCGAGAACCTTGTTGCTCATGTTGGAAAACGCGGACGAGCCGCCTTTGATATGCAGATCCGAGGAGAAATCTTTAAAATTGTTGCACGACTTGCTACGAATGTAAACCTTCTTACAAACCAGAATTGGCCGATATACACAAAATATAAGTACCTGATCGTCTAAAGCTTATAAAGGCCATTTAGGTTCGCCGCCGTTATCGTTACAGTATCAGTTTTAAAAGTCTGAGGGTTACGGTACGAGCTGCGCTATTCTTGTATGTAAACCGAGTTGCAAGTTATAGGGCGAGTTTAAGCTACCGTAGAATCGTAGATACCATACAATAGTGCATATAATATAATAAATAAATCTGTACCTCGTGCAGCTGTCGTCCTGCAGTTCAAACAGCGTTCCAGATTCTGTTGTTTTTCCTTCCACTTCTGCAATGGGCGTTAACACAAATGCCATAATCCAGTCGTCCACTGCTCGTTTTTCCTTCTTTTTAAAATAATAGGTACTAGTGCCCTGCAACGGAGTACAAAATTGCGTCCAGTCCGATCCGAACTTACAAAATTTTATCCGAACCCAGTCCGACTCCGAATTCTAAAAATCGTACTCCGACCAATCCGATCCGAAAATATTTTTGGCCAATCCGAACCCACTCCGATCCAATCCAAAAAATTTTCCGAAAGAATATTGCTTAATTTTATTACACATCCCCAGATTAAAAAAAATTTAATGCCGAAGCAGTTAAAATTTTAATGCCGAAGTACCGTAACATGGCATTCAAAAAAATTTTAGCCATGTTGTCGGTAGCCAAAAGACTTCAGAATTCACAGGTACAAGTTTCTTGGGCATAATAAAGGTTAAGCTAGAGGATTTATATATACAAGATTTTTTAGGTGAATTTAGTTTTTTAGCACTACAGTGTTGAAGCAATTGGAGAGGTTAGTTATCTATCCTCACTGTCAGATATCTGTATCAGATCTTTTTGTTGTATACGCTTCAGGCCACGGATTACCCACGTATTAGTTAGGTTCAAAAATAGGGACAGAAATTTAGAGGGATGGATGTTTCTAAACGTCCGGAACTAAAAATAAATGGTAGTTTCGTGCATTCCTTAGTGTAAGTTTATATTATTATATATAATGTTAGTATATATAATTAGAATATATTATTATTGTTATCTTAATCTCAAGTATTAATCGAATTACAAGTGCTGCAAATAAAAACGGGAAGTCGGTGCCTAGCGAAACTGACTGAGCTGCACAACACATGTGGTCCGTTTAAACTTTAACCGTACTGTAATAGTTATACTAAAATTATTTGATAAGACAATAACAAATAACGACATCATAACAATCGTAAAACACTCAAAATAATAAAAAGTGTCAGGAGAATTAATAAAAGGAAGTAAAAGAGAATTAACAACAGTCAACTAAACAAAAGCAGGTACTTCGATGAAAATTAATTAAACGCAAATGGAAGTATCGCGCGAAGCGCGAAGCTGACGAAAATTTTTGTTTTGAAGGCCGGTGAAATTTAATAAAAATTAATTAATAAAATTTATTTAATTACGGATTATTCGGAGTCTTGATTGCATCCGAACCCGATCCGATTAGGTGCACATAAACTCCGAAACCACTCCGACTCCGAATTTTCCAGATTGAAATCCGTCCAATCCGGTCCGAAAATCGGAGTGGGTTCGGAGTGGATCGGATTTCCCAGTCCGTTGCAGGGCTCTAATAGGTACGACCATCCTTCTCTTTAAACCGGTATTCAGCTGCCGTGAACTGTAATAAAGCGCTACTCTATAATCGGCTAAATTCCTGCAGTTATTAGTAGACTGTGCACAAACACGCATAAGCTACTTACACAAAACGAATCTGAAGCCGATTGGTTAGACATTAGAAAGTATCTGTAAGCCTGTTCACAGGATGCAAAAGCCAAATTACAAATGCCAGCAACTTCCTTAATTATTTAATTAGAATGCGTTTGTCAAAAAACTTGCTGTTTCCAAAGGATTACAATTTACGGCTCATTTTTATTGGCACGTTCCCACAAAAAAAATTCAGGGTTGGATACAGTTTACTGTGTTTCAGCCTGGTTATTTGTACAAGAAGTACGGTTAATCACTTTAATGACAAATTATATGTTGACTAAGCTGGTACTGCATTGATTACAGTAATAGTATTACGTATACCTAATCTAATAAACGATCTATGGGTGCATACTGCCTTTGTAGCTGTGATTTCATGGCCAGTCGATGAGTTTGGCGCTCGCTGTGCAGTGAAAGTGCAGTCAGCCTTCCCCTCCCCAATGATGATTGGACTTTTGGGTGAAGTACTGACTAAAAGGTGAGCACAATTCTCCACATAGGGCTGTTTATGTGGGCAACAGTGTGGCACAGGTCGCTGCTGGAATATATAGTCTGTCCTTTAGTGCTCTTTATACAGCAGTATCACATGAGCAGCTACTTATACAGCACTATAACTTGAGCAGTTCAACAGTTTCTGTCCGACGTTTAATAAGTCCTCAAGAGCTTTATCGGTAAAATCAGGAAAATTACGTGACCTTAATTTATGCAGTGTGTCTCGAACGTTTTGCTATGGAAAAAAATTATTTTGACAGTAATGGTATTTACTGTTTAATCAGAACGTACAAGTGCATTTGATAGATATGAACTGCTTCTGTAGATAAAGTGAAAATCATGACATACGAAGAGCAGAACGGTTCTTTAAGATTATTCCTCAGCAAGTATTCACTGGACGAAATCCTGAAGTTGTGCACCGTTTGCACAGCAAACCGATCACTGGACATTATGGATACGGTTCTTTTGGAAGTATGCCAAAATGTGTGATGTATCTACATATTTTTTGAAATATTAGTTAGCTATTGCTTTTAATTAACTACTGCAATATCATTGTAATAAATGATATACTGCATGTAGGAACTTGCACACCGTGTACAGCTGGCACCTGATCGGCTTAGAGATATGTATATCCACGTGATGAACGAAGCGCCGTCTCTCCTTGATTTGATTTCGCCATCGGATCCAAGGAGTATCGTTGTAATTACTCCTCCAGTGAAAACGTGCACGGAAGGCTGCGTGTACCAGAGGGGCTCTAAAACAGGTCTACCTTTGGAACTCGGTCTTCATAATAAGCCAGCTTGGGTAAATATATACCTTTACGTAGTCACAGTTACTAACAACTCGTTAGTTATATTTCTTGTTCAGTGAACTGTCTACTGTCTTGAGTACACACACTTTTACGTTAATTTCAATCGGTATTTATTAGTTATTATTAACTGCTTTGAAATACAACTGAATATTGCGGCAAAAATACAGTACCCGAAGCATTTTTTCAGGGCACACTGCACGACATTAACGGAATGAGCCGATCTTTCGTTCGCCTATCGTATAGATGTCCAACCTGCCGTAGTATATACAAGTACGACATGTTTCAATCCAAAAAGGATGGCAAATACCGCTTTTACGAGCACGAACGAACGCATGTGCGCGTGACCCAGACAACTTATTGGTCTAGAACGTTATGCAAATTCTTAGTAGAAAGCGTGTAAGTGCTCTAATTAAATACCTTATAAATAAATCACATTTATCTTAACAAAACTAAAATTAACTGATTACACGGGAAATAGTGCTCTTTTCTCTTCTTTGCTACACAACTGCCAAGTAAAGCCAACTTTGTTTTACAACTTCCTTTTCAAGATTGCATTGCAAAGCGTCTTTCAACGGGTTCTGCGAAACGTACCTCGAGACATACGGAAAAGCTGCCGGTAAAATTTTCCCAAACCATTGGCTTTTTTCACTTGAAAACTTTTATCTACTTTGTAGGATTTGATGTACAGAACGTGTCCGAAGCGTTTTTCCGCTATGAAACGGAAAATGAAGTTCGGGAGAATAATTTGCTTTATTTCGGGTTCTCTTCGGACAAGGACGTTGAGCAAGCTTTTCCTGAACTCGACAAACTTCGATGCGAGCGTCTATACCCTCATGTCTGCCATCCGGCGTGCGCTTCCAGAGGTTGCGGAGTGTTGTTCTCGGTTGACGGCATCTGGAAAGCTCACTTCCAGCACTGTGCTTTTGTTCAGCAGGCAAGTGACTTTTAGCAGGAATCAAAAGATCGTGTTGCTCAGCATGTATACAATTAAGTCACAGCGACCATGACAGGACCACCAGAGCGTAGAATAACCTAATAAAGAGAATACCTTATCTATTAAAAGTTTTTAGAATACCGTTGCAAACGTTCAGCTGGTAAACTTTCCAAATATTTGTCCAGAAGAACCGTTGTCTAAACGTGGCGAAATGTATTGCGGGCCACATTCTCTTCCTGCACAACTGGCGAATATTCCAACAAACAAAAGAAAGGTCACGCTGCAACATGCTGCAGCTAGCGCATTTCATCTTCAAGGTAAACTTTCTGTATTGGTGCAAGAATCGTACTTTTATCCGATTATTCTTGCAGCGTCTGACCGGGTTTTGAGAAACTTTTGCGCTGATGAAGTGACGCTTCCCGGCGAAACAGTGGAAGTAGAAATCATGAACGAAATCTCAATGCCGGAAAACAATGATTCAGCAAGTGAACTGGTTTGCACAAAAACCTAGGTGAACCAAAAATGCAGCCAGTTCGGTCACGAGGATACATATTTGTGGTGCGAGCGGGTGGTCACATCGACATGTTCTCTCCTATATATAAGTGCGTATTTACCTATATGTGATTCGGCAGTTAGTGACACATGTACCGAACCATTGCTTTCCTGTTACAGGTCTGAGTCTCCATCCCAGGTATTCCTTATACTGATTTCTTGGATGTATCAGGTCTTACAAACAGTTCCCTCATGCGACTGGCCAAAACTTTTTTTGGCATATGATAACATGTGCAATCTGGAGCGACTGAAAGCCACGCTTCAAAACTTTCGCTACCACCGCCATATGACGAGCTTTGGACCAAGGGGATGACGAAAGTAATCGACGGCTTCCACTTGGGCAACCACAAAGGCCATAAATGCCACACAAAGTACAATCCAGACCAAATCCGGGCGGCCTATCCCAACCTGCTCAGTGCTAATACACAGAGTTGTGAGCAGACATTCCGTTGGCTGGGAGCATTCCAGCATGCTATGTTCAAAATGACTAAGTACCGTCAACTCTTCTTTCTACACAGGATCGCTAAGCGCAGAAACTTGTATCTGGAAAAAGTTGCAGCCAGTACGCGCTCTGACTCATGAACATTCAGCAGATGATGATATTACTTATAATATGTATTTTCAGCTTTTCAAAGCATCAAACTGCTACAAAGTTTAAACTGCTCACTGCTGCTACTAATGAGGTAATAAAATTACGATCAGTATTCGCAAACGATGTCTCATGTCCTCAGTTTCTGTGAGCTATAGTACGCCTCACTAACATTATTTTCGAAAATACTTCTAACTACAGCAATTTTTGAAGTAACTTTTAGTTCAACAGGTTTCAACAGCAACAGGTAAAGATAGCATAAGAGCCCGAAGGCATATTTGCAGTGTTTCCTTCGGTTCCAACGGGTTCCAAAAAAAGTTTCACAGGCTTAACTGGTGTCACATCAGGTAGCAATTAAACGATGTACAGTAGTTCCAACAGTTCCAATAAGTTCCAATAGAGTTCCATAGGTTCCACTGGTGTCACACCAGGTCGCAATTAAACGATGTACAGTAGTTCCATCAGTTCCAGTAAGTTCCAATAGAGTTCCGTAGGTTCCACTGGCGTCACAAAATGTCGCAATTAAACGGTATACAGTAGTTCCATCAGTTCCAATAAGTTCCAATAGAGTTCCATTGGTTTCACAGGTGTCACATCAGGGCGCAATTAAACGATGTACAGTAGTTCCATCAGTTCCAATAAGTTCCAATACAGTTCCATAGGTTCCACAGGTGCCAAACGAGGGCGCTCTGAGATAGGGCGCTAATCGAACCCACAGTAGTTTCTTTGGGTTCGATTAGCGTAACCCTTGTTACACTATTCTCGCCAAAGAACGATGTACGAATATTTGCAGCAGCGGAACTTATGGAACCAATGGAACTACCGGAACTAATGGAACTTTAATGGAACCCCCTTCTTACCCTAAACGGGTTAATCTATGACGAAATCAGTCAATGTGGAACATAATTCACTCTCCTCTGCTCCAGGCCCACATAGTAAATCTTTAAGATGTTGCGGCCGTAGGTCTGAGCAACCACCAGCAGAACCGGAAGGAAAGCTGAGAACGGCTTTCAAAACTTCGGCAGGTGTGACTAGGGGAGGCTTAAGCGACTGTTCGGGCGGCGGTGGATAATCACTGTCCTGTGGTTCCGGTGGATGCTTACTGCGTAGGGACTCAACAGTATCCGCGTTCATAGGTGCAAGTGCATCCTCGCCCATGATCACACCAACAGCCCGTCGAACATTATTGTCCTGTAACAGGGACGTCACCAAGGCGGCCTGTCGTTCTTCGTGCAGCTCTCTTTTACGGGTTATGTCGCTGCTACTACGTGTACGGGGAGGATGATGATGACGGGACAGATCAGCCAGATTCCTGCGGATTATTGTAGACAGCAATTCCTTTCGGACTGATTTCGTGGCCGGCAAAGACAGAGCTCTTGAGCCAAACAGCAACACATCTACCCATGACGCCGATGAGTTTTCACGTACACATTGACGGAGTATTTGGGTAAGGCTCTGTGCGCAGGGACGTCGGACTGTCTCCGGCACTCTTTTTGGGAGGTTATAATGCGTCCCGGTGAGGAGAAACTGAAGGGGGTGCTGATCAGAACGGGGCTGCGTAGCGGCAGGGGGCTTTTGGGCTTCGACTTTCTTGCAACAGGCCTTGACATGGTTGGCGAACCCTGCGCCTTTGGTGAATAAATGCAAGCAGAACTGACATTGCTGATCTTTCACCATTTCAGCGACATCCAGAGGCTGTAAAAATGTGAAAAGCCGAGATAAAGGTTCTTCAAGAACTATGACATCGACCAGCAGAGAAACGACATACCCGATTACCTGGGGTTCACAAAAGTTCCCCCCAAGTAGTGTCGTGCAAGGCCCCATAAACATCGTCGTTGTAGATTGGTGCATCCGAAACATCGTCGTTGTAGATTGGTGCATCTTCATTTAATTAATTGATTTTAGATATCCTCAGACTTGTTTTGCCACTGGAATCCAATCGTACAATACTTTTCTTCGGCTTGGCGGAGAATTTCTTGAGCCAACTCCATGTAATCCGCGAAGTTCAAAATAATTTTGCGGATGTAATTAATTAAACGTAATTAAACAATCGTATTAGGTGACATTTGTGGCATTTGCCACTTCCGTCGTCGACGTAATACCTTGCATAACCAATGTCACGGTGGTCACTAACAACGGAAAGGACACCATGAACACTGGAGTAACGGATATAAATGTCTGTAAAGGACCATCCGTCTCCATAAGACCATGACAAACGGGCACGTTGCGTCTGTGGCGAATATAACAAAGGAAACTATATTTTCAATCAAAGCCAGTTCTGTAAACGCAGAATAATATATGGAAGGTGTAAAAATGTAAAATAAAAATCTTCCCGAAACAATGTGAAAAAATGTTCCCTATCGTTATAGGCTGGGATTTCTTCTATACGGTTATACCGTCGTTTTGGATTTCTTCGAGATATACTACGTTATACTAAGCTGTCAGAAAATGTTAATATCATTCGGTAAGTACTTTTTCATATTTGTGAATTTTTTCAGTTTTTACATGCATTGCATGGAGCTTAGAAATATCAGCTTATTTGTTCGGTAAGCTCAGTATTTCACAAGGAACAGTATAATGATTAACAAGAAGTTTTCTCCGCGGTTGGTTGGTGTTTGTATAGCACCGCTGTCAATTGCTGCGAGAGGGAGAAAAGCCAGTACTTCGATACTGAAGTCAATAATAAATTATTCACAGAGTGCGATCGTTTCGGGGCAGAGATGCAAAGAAGAAATATTTACAAAGGAAGATTGCGTTAATATTTCCGCTGAATACATGCCACCTGTTGGCATACTTGATTAAGAATTCAAGCTGTATGCCATTGTTCCTTGTTTGCCGTCGACTACGCTGTCTGATTCACATTGTAAAAAAACTGCCCACTGTGTAGGATTCTCTTAACGCTCTTTTCCCGATCGACCAGCACTGTACGAACTTTAATTCCCTTTCACCTACGACAGCAATGATTTAGGAAGCGGTGCAAAGAATTTACTGACTGTTTACGCGTCTCGAATATTGTGGACTAGCAAATGTAAGTGCTATAATTCTGCGGATTACTCCAGTAATTAATCACCCATGGATTCAAAAACGTATCTTGCATCCATACGGCCGCAGCGCAATCGCTTACCGGCCTGGACAAAATCCTCTTATTTTCCTTATGACGGTTTTGGCACTCTTACATGCCGCCGTCTTGTATTTGACCTATAAATACAAACTTTGTATTATAGGTCAAATAGAAGACGGCGCCAACATGTTACCGGCGTCCCTTATTAAGCCTCATGGCTGCGGTCACCGCAATAGGAAATAAGACGAACACTATGTTGGTAGCCTGGCTACCAACAGTGCTTGTTGTAATTCTTATTCCGGTGCTTATTATCGGAACGGCCTTGCACAGCGACGGTCAAACAGTGCGCACTTCTGCACTGGCGTGGGACAACATGACACATAATTCCTGTTGCATGCCACGGGAATTACTGTATGTATCAAGTTGTCCCACGTCGGTGCCATGATGCCGTCGCTTCCGCAGCATATTCATTGCGGGATCTCAGCGATCCGCCGAGTGTGCTCCCCGCGCTAGTGTCAGCAGCATCGCTTCCACCTTGGGAACAACAGTCCGCTAATACCAATGTCGTTCAATGCTGGAACGATTACTGCGCACAGTCGCCCTATGACTGCCTCGATTAGGTATGAGAAATACCACGTCAGCTGCGTAAAGGTTGATACCCACCGTTTCCATCGGTAAAAGCCAACTTAAATCACTGTAATTCCAGGGGATATTTTTTTCCTTGCTTTTTACCATCTAACCAAAGCGCCTCTGACGTAGAAGCGAAAGAAATAGGGCACGATTTAACACGAACTCTCATGATGCAGCAAAAAAAGGTAAAAGTTTAATTCAAATTCTTTTTGACCCAAATGATAAACAGTGGATAACTGCAAAGGAAAATTAAATAAAAGCTACATTTATTTTCATTTTTAATAAATTTAGTTCCACTTAATAGCTATCAAATTTTTTTTAAATACTTTTCAATTTTTTTTGTTATCAAATTCTATTCAAAAATACCGAAATTTATTTGGAGTTTTAATCCATGTTAAGCGGCTAATTGTTTTGAAGATAACTAGTTAATTTATTGGCTCAAATTTCCGGAAACGGCTGGAAAACACGCTGTTTGACCAATTGCCGCGCCATTCACTGTGCGTCTATGCACGCTGTTTTATTAGTGTTGAGCGCAATCTTTAAATGCAAAGTAATAATGCCTCGCACGGTTTACGGTATTTAAAAATCTCAAATTTCAAAAGTTGCAAAAAGCATCCAAAATCATTACTTCTATAGATCGCTCGGCGTCGTCAGAGCAGGAGGATAATTCATTGGAACGACAGACTGTACATTGCCAGTTGCTGGAGGATTTGGTCCTCTTGGACGCAGGCTGTTATTTGGGACGGGGTTGGAGTATGTGCGTCTAGAGCATGAACGCCGAGCAACTGGTCAAACTGTACATGCAGGATGGGCAGCTGTTGTTGGTGACCATTGACCACAGTTTTGCCGTTGAGCGGCTCTGCTCAGCCGGTGAGTTGTGGATCCGGGCCATCAAAACGGAAGACGGCTGTGCGTATCTCGGTAAATGTCACCACCACAGCGCGGACGATCCTGTCGGGTATCGATTGCGGTTTGGACCAGCGTTCCGCGTCACCTTTTTAGCCAATGGTTAGTCTGCAACGCTGAATGAATTTTGTTAGACTCAGATCTCAGTATACTCGTTAGGGATGCTGTATAACAGAAAATCAAATCCGAAAGGTAGATACATGAAAATGTAAATGACGAATAGATAAATTCTCTATTTTGTTAATATATCATTAAGATATGTACTATCAGTATAAGTATTTTTTTATTACTTTTGCGCTTATGTTAAAATAAAAATTGTTTAATTTATTCTTATAATAATTACCGAACATTCAGACCACTTGCAGTAAATTTTGTCGCGCAGGGACTGTTTGTAAA